TAAGGGAGGTGTGGACTATATCTAAGGGAGGTGTGGACTATATCTAAGGGAGGTGTGGACTATATCTAAGGGAGGTGTGGACTATATCTAAGGGAGGTGTGGACTATATCTAAGGGAGGTGTGGACTATATCTAAGGGAGGTGTGGACTATATCTAAGGAGGTGTGGACTATATCTAAGGGAGGTGTGGACTATATCTAAGGGAGGTGTGGACTATATCTAAGGGAGGTGTGGACTATATCTAAGGGAGGTGTGGACTATATCTAAGGGAGGTGTGGACTATATCTAAGGGAGGTGTGGACTATATCTAAGGGAGGTGTGGACTATATCTAAGGGAGGTGTGGACTATATCTAAGGGAGGTGTGGACTATATCTAAGGGAAGTGTGGACTATATCTTAAGGGAGGTGTGGACTATATCTAAGGGAGGTGTGGACTATATCTAAGGGAGGTGTGGACTATATCTAAGGGAGGTGTGGACTATATCTAAGGGAGGTGTGGACAATATCTAAGGGAGGTGTGGACTAGACCAAGGGGAAGTGTGGACTAGACCAAGGGGAAGTGTGAAATAGATTATTTCATAAATAAAAAACAGTGATATTTAAGAAATAGCTGTGTCATTAAAAAAAGACAAAAGCAATGTATCAGCTATCATTGTGCATCTTCAGATGTAATTTGCCTTTTTTTGCGTGAAGAATTTTTTTTTTAAAGTGAGGCACAGCAACAAAAAGTTCAGGAACTGTCGATCTAACACAAGATAGTTTTATCAGACCAAAACTCTGCCCTCGGTTTACTTTAGGCTAGGTATTTGAGTGCATCAAGTCATGGATGAAAATACAGACTATATCAGCATTCAAAAAGGCAAGAAAATTAATTGAACACTGAAGAAATTGGCACGGCTTGTGGTATTAACCGACGGACTGTGTAGACCACCCATTCCCACTCCCCATTTCTGAATGATTTAAATATTTATATAGTGGACCTATCTGAAAGTGGATACTTCGTATTACAGAAGAATAAAAACTATGTCTCAGAATAAAATAAAAAAATCAACAAAGTAGTAACGAGTTTTTAAAGAGACATAATAATGATGATTAAGAATCCGAAATAAATTTGAAAACAAAAACCCATCACCATTTACAAAGAGAAAAAAATTCATTCATCGAGCTAATCAGCGACTGATCCACGAGCTAGGCGAAGGTTGCATGGTTAGATAGCCATTTCACGATTGAGATGAAGTCCCTCGCACTAGGGGAATCCCCAGTGCCGACTGGTATCAAATTCTTGTTAGGTTCAGCCAGGGAGGGTAATAGATTTCTTCTCTCGCTCATTCTTCGCTCCCTTTATTTTTTTTCCCTGCTGGCTAATCTATTACTATACTATAAAGCCGGCTGTTTATTTTTAAGTAGGATAAAAATAATTGCTTCAAATAAACTGAAAACTACAGTTACCTGTTAAAGAAGATATTATCAGTAAGTATGTGGTTTGTAGAGTGGTAATTTTTTAACGTCGAGTTGTCTAAAGGGCGATTAATGCGCTATATAAGTAAGTGGTGTGTGTGTGGGGGGGGGGGGGGGGCTTCTATTAGTAGGTAGGGTGATGGGTGTGAGACGATATAAGTGGTGTTTGGATGGGTGGATGGTGTGATGTTGGTGATGTTTGGGTGGGATGATGGTGTGATATTTTGGTGTTTGGGTTGAAGGTGTGGTATTGATGGTGTTTGTGGGTGTGATGGTGTGGATATTTTTGGTGTTTGTGGGGTGGTGATGGCGTGATATTGGAAGTGTTTGGGTGGGGGTGATGGTGTGACATTGTGTAATAAAATGTTGTGAAAGATTAGACATATCGATAGCACACATTCACCCGCACATTACGTTTCGGTGATTACTTTGTTCACCTTGAGAGCGTAATCTCTCTTTAAAACTGATTAACCAAACCTCCATCAAATCAGCCCAGAATTCTAATCAATATTTGAAAACGCCTCCCCGATCAGCCCGGGGGTATGGAGGCTTTGGTTTATAATGAAAACATTGTCACTAATCCCGCGTCTTGTCTGGGTGGCCAGATATAGGCGCTGAGAGCCAACACAACCCTGCACCAACCCAACCCTGCACGAACCCAACCCTGCACGAACACAACCCCGCATCAACACAACCTAACCATAAAACAACCCCAACGCTGCACCAACACAGCCATGCACCAACCCAACCCCACAACATTCCAACCCTGCACCAACACAACACCACACCAAACCAATCCTGCACCCTGCACAACCCTATTTCAATACAACCCAACCCCGCACCAACCCAACCCCACAGCATTCCAACCCTGCACCAACCCACATCTGCACCAACCCAACCCCGTACCAACCAACCCTTCACCAGCCAAACCATCCACCAAACCAACCCCGCACTAACCCAACCCTGCACCGACCCAACCCTGCACCAACACAACCCTGCACCAACCCAACCCTGCAACAATCCAACCCCGCACCGACCAACCCTGCACCTACCCAACCATACACCAACCCTGCAACAACCCAACCCCGCACCGACCCAACCCTGCACCTACCCAACCCTGCACCAACCCAACCCTGCACCAATACAACCCTGCACCATCACAACCCCCCTCCTATTCAGGAATACGAACAGCATCTTCGAGAATTCAACAAAGTTTGTACTACTGGAACCATTTATGTTCACACTCCACAACATAACCATAAAATATGCGGGGGGGGGGGGGGGTCACCATCTTATGGGATGACAATAGAGAAAATTGGCTTGAAAAGTTGGTTCCAAATGGTTGTTGCCAGAAAGCATATTTTCATCCAAAGTTGAATATTTTATAACATTTGTGTCAGGGTGTTGTGGTGATAGGGGATGTTATTATTTAATATAAATAAAATTTAAATAAAATACTAGGCTATATCCCACTGACCGCTATTGTGTATTTCATAATGGAAAACAATTATTGTGATTTTCGTTTCACTTCAAGGAGGGGTTGAGGTCGTTTTTTTTTAAATATCTGAATTGATAAAATAATTCTAAAAAAAAATATTTTTAAAAAAATGTATTTAAAAGTATGGCAAGAGATAAAATTACAGTTGCATTTCAAGGCCCCCCCCCCCCGAAAAAATGTGCGCCCCCCCCCCCCCCCCCACACCCCGAACGAAATGAAATTTATATAATTTATATAGATAATATATACTTTTAACAGCGTCCGCCCCCCCCCCCCCCCGAAGAAAGTCTACCGCCCCCCCCCCCCCGAAAATTTCAAGTGCCCCCCCCCCCCCGGAGAAAAAAGTCTGGAAGAAACACTGCACAGGGCCCCCGAGCTGTTGAAGTAAATAAATCAGGCCGTTGTTATAAAATTATTTTTAACATTGCTGGTATTTGAAAGAAATGTCTCAACTAGCTTATTTATTTGATTGAAGAATATTTTAACAAGCTGATGTTGGTGGGGGAAAAAAAAGTAGTTTCAAAAATTAGTACTAGATCTAGACTCTAGTTAAAATTGAAATGGTCAAGTAGATTGTGTCGTTAAATAGATCTATAATAGTGTATCGATACTTTGTGGTTTTAATGGTTTTTCTTTTTTTTTATATATATAATTATTTCTACTATTTAACTAGTAATAACCAGCATAGTCCGTCCGTAGTTATATCAATGTATTTATTTAAAACTTTAGACATGGTTTATACTTACAGCCAGAGGCGTAGCGAGGGGGGGGGGGTTGCGGACCGCACCGGGTGACACCATTTAGGGGGTGACACCAAGGCAAAAAGTAGTAAATATATAGACAAAAATTTGAGGGGGGGGGGGGTGCAAATCGAAAGTTTGAGGGGGAATGTGCAAATCGAAAGTTCGAGAGGGGGGGTGCAAATCGAAAATTGAAAGTTTGTCCCCGGGAAGAGTCGCTGCACCTCTGGGGGGGGGGGGGGGGGTGACACCATTAAGTGCCGCACCGGGTGACACCCGACCTCGCTACGCCACTGCTTACAGCTTATATTTTAAAATTATATTTACGTGTATACGTTTTAAGAAAAATAAAATATATTATAGATTAAATAATTATTTTATATAACATGGTTAAAGTAGGCCTATATTCTTTAATAAAATAAAATTGGAAAGATGTAGTTAAATTTTAAACAGAACTGCACTAAAGAGTCACCTATTTCCCCTACTTTTGATATCTGCCGCAACCACTACAGCAAAAGTCTGCGGTTGTTTCGAGGTAAGGGCCCTCAGTCTTTGAAAGGTATTGGGCCCTGACCAGAGGCGTAGCGACCCTGCCCGGGGACAAACTTTTCGATTTGCACCCCACCCCCTCGAGATTTCGATTTGCACCCCCCTCCTCAAACTTTCGATTTGCACCCCCCCCCCTCGAGATTTCCAATTGCACCCCTTCAACCTTTCAATTTATTTTTCCAACCCATTTTGGCGCATTTTGGCCCCCCCTAAGGTCGGCGCCCGGGGACATATGTCCCCCCCCCCCCTCGCTACGCTACTGGCCCTGACTGATCTATGACTATAACGCTACTGCCGTCACAACCCACTCAACCCCAACACCTCACAATCACACTCAAACGACAACACATCTTTATTCTAGAAAAATGTAGGGATTTTTAAACATTTGCTTAGGAATTTACATTATTTCTACATTTCTTTCGAACAATTGAGATAAGTATTAGATCCAGGTCTAGATCTAAAAATTCTAAATGCTAAATCTATACCGATGCAAACAGACGTAAAAGTTGGTAACGAATACACTTTTTGTGCAGGGATTTTTTCCTTTGTAGTTCTTCTTGAAGAAAACCAAATTTCTTTTCATAGCAACTGTAAAGTAATACGCGTACCAAAAAGTTTTGTTGACCCAACCGTTAATACAAACAAAACTATTCAATATTTAACAGCCAGAGTTAAGTTAACATAAAAATACATTTAAATTTACTTTGGCAATAGGAACATCTATGAAATATTATATCAAGTGCGTAATTTTGGGGTATAATTTGAGTACTTTATTGGGTGGTGTAGGAATGTGTGTTTTAAAGATGGTGCGCAGGCTAGATGTAAACACTACTTTTTGTTGATGAAGACTAGTCTAGTCATAGTTAGGCATCGATGTTAGTGCTAATATTTGATCAATATTAATTTAACTTTGTTAAATAATAAAAGTAAAACACCTGAAAATGTCACGGGCTGCTGGAACTCTGATTACCACAAATAATGCTACCTACATACCACCTCGTTTCATGCCCGGGTAAGTTCTGTTGTGTGACTGGTGGTGTCTACTTCTACACTCTATAGTATATATAGTCCTATAACTATACTACTATACTTATTATAAGTCTACTTCTGTAAGTACTTAAGTAGTAAGTACCAATAGGGCTGGTAAGTAGGTCACCAACCAGTTATATGGCTCATGCAGGTTTTATTGAGCCGTAGAACTGGTTGGTGACCTACTTAGTACTTACTTACCAGCCCTACTATAGTAGATGTAAAACAATTAAAAATAGTATTAATATTTTAGAAATTTTTAACATTTCTAATTGTTAATATCATATTAATATATATATATATATATATATATATATATATATATATATATATATATATATATATATATATATATATATATATATATATATATATATATATATATATATATAATATATATATATATATAATATATATATATATATATATATATAGGCCTATATATATTATAATATTTGGCCTGATATAACAATTACTCAAAGCTCCCTTTTTTAAATTAAAGAGTCTACTTTTAAGAAAAAATTAATTAAAGCTAGTCAACTTTTAAAAAAAAAAAACATTAAGCCTATATTAAATACAAACTATTAAATTATTATAAAACTTTGATCATCATTCATTTGGTCACTTCATTGGGCATAAGGAATCTACTATACTTCTCCAATAATACTTTGATTCTGTATTATTTATGTTACATATAATTTTATCCTCACTGTATAAAAAATAACCATTAATTTTTGTTTTGTATCTCTAGCTATAGAGGGTATTGCCCAACTACTAAATTTGACTACGGTGAGACATATGGCAATCAAACAGCCAAGTACTTTCAGGACTACAGATCTTCAGTTTTAAACAGCTCAGCAGATCCCTTGTGTAGGGGTGGCTCATTTCCTACAGTCTATTCCCACAACCCAGACCTTGTTATAAGCAACAGAACAAGAACACAGGATCGCTGGCTGCTGGCTCCAAAATATCAGCTGTCCAATGTGGACCATGACCGTAAAGAGGAGATTTATCAATTTAATAGGGTAATTAAAACAATTAAGTTATTTAGGCAATTGGGGCATGGTCTGATGACATAGATTACGACTGCTAACCCAAAAGTCTCAAGTTTAAATCACTGGTCTGTAGAGTATACCTGAGTCCACCCAGCTTTAATGGGTATCTGACTCGTGTTTTAGAAATCAAGAGGGCTTGGCATAGTATTAGTGTTGACCATACGATCTCTTTTTATGCTGAAACAGCAGAACTCTACTTCATCTGCCCCATGTGTCTTGGGCACAAATGGAAAAAGATGATGTAGTGTTTTATTTTAGTAGCATAGTTAACACATTTATATTCAAATTTAATCACTATATTAATTACAATTAAAGATTAGCTAATTATTAAAAACATTCATTTTTTTAATTTACAAGAATAATTTCTGGCCTTTTGAATTCTGGTCCTAAAGATACTTAGATTTCAAAGAAACTTTTTATTTAACATACCATGCAACATTTAGCATTAATATGTGAGAATGCTATTTTATGTATTAGAACTATCAAAAACAGACTTGCAATTATTATTCTACAAAAACATGAAATCTACCTTCCAAAAACACTATAAAATGTGTCATCCTTGTTCAGTGTTTGTATGATTTTACTTTGCACTTAGCCATAATATAACTTGGTTATTAAATTTTACTCTTTTGAACTAGCTGTCTCAAGCTCATCGAGAACACTACACAGATAAGAGTGGAACTGTGAAGCCAGTTGACTACTTTAGTATTCCTCTCTCTGGAGAAGAGCAGTTTAAAAGACAGATTCCTTTGTAAGTCCGTGCTTCAGGAATGTTTTACAGCACTTGTTACATAGCTTTTTGTGCACACAATTTCAATAGAGAATGAGCTAACATCTTTACATCAACATAAAGCAATAACATCAAGCAAAAAAAAATAAAAATTTTAAAGGAAACAAGTAATATATTTGGACAAGGTTAATTTATAGTCGTGCAGTAAGCACTTAAATAATAAATACTTAAATTGTATTTAACATCACCAAATCTTGTGAAACATTTTAAAAGTATGATTAAAGTGACTGAAAAACCTAAAAATATCAGTTTGTTCCTAACATTTTAAAAATATGTGCACTAGTACATTCACACGTTTGTTGAAGATTGAAGTATTTCTAACTTTTCTAATCAGTTTTTAATTCTTTGATTGTTTTAATTGCTTCATTTATGTTTTAAGATGAGTTTTCATGTGGACAAAATGGAACTAACCGAGTTAAATCAAAGGAGAACTGGTAAACTATGGTTTGCTCAGATATTTCCATCTTAAGTTTGGGAACCATGCTGAACCAACAGTTTTTTTTTAAACCATGAAAACAACTAACTTAAGTACACTATTATTAATTATTGATTTAGGTAAAAAAATAACTCTCCAGATGAACAGTATAGATGATTTAAATCATGTAAATTGTTTTAATATCTCACAGTCTGCATTTGGTGATTCATGTAAATTACAAAAAAAAATGTTACTTGTTCTGAGTCATTTGTTTTTCTTTTATTACTCATACATAACACCAAATCATAGCTAGACTATAAATCTAGCAATATACATATTGAAAACTGCATCAGTATATTTGCCCCACATGTATCACCATGTTATCTTTGTTGGGTATTTATATCATGAGCAGAATATAATTCTTTAAAAGGTGATAAGGATATAAAAAATTACCTAAAATTTATTGCGTGTTATTTTAATGTAGTAGTAGGCATATTGATCATTTTTGTGTTTTTCTTGATTGCTGTGTTTATCTTAATTTTGTTTTGTTACTACTGGATACTTCTTTTTAAGATTCTGTGACATTTTTAAAAAATTATTAAAAAAATAAGTTGTGTGCATAGGCTACTAATAATGTCTGCATTTTTGCATGAATACTAATTGTTTTGTGTGTTTTTGTGTATGGTAATAGATCTATACATATTTCAAAGATTTGGAAAAAGATTATCTATCAATGGCAAAAATATGTTTAAATAGTCACAGGATACATTGTCACAAGGCAAAAACTTAATCTTGTAGTTATAATATAACTGCAAGATTAAGTTTTATATTCCATTGTGGTTTAACTGTGGTATCAGAACCAGAATCAGAAACGGAACAATAAAAAACTTTTCCATCCAAATTGTTGGAATATGCCAGGCCAGGATAAGATTTGCTTTATATTTTTATGAACTTTATTTAGTATTTTAAGCTGCTATTCTGGGTGATCTGTTTTAGGGTTTACAACGGGTGCAGGATGAAAAAAAAAGAGGTCAGCTTTACCCCAGAGAAAATAGTTGAATCATGTCGAGTTACTTCCCTTGCGTGTTTCCACCTTAAGTGCACCATCAATTGGGGAATCCCCTGCTCATTCTATTTCTGTTTTGATCTCAAAATTACAGTGGTTTGTGTCCACCTAACACAGACTGCAAAATGCAAAACATCTAAATACATCTAAATCTAGCATACACATATTACAGTACACACCTTAGTAGACATGTTACCAAAGGCGTAGGCAGGCTTTTTTTTTGGAATCGGCGGGTGGGGGGGGGGGGGTCATTACAGCTAATGGTAATGGCGCAAACTTTTTTTATTGTCACATAAACAAGTTTACACCCTCACACACAATATATATACACACACAATCAGTTAGTGAGATAACCCAAGATACCACCCCTTCCGCAAATGGCAGCCATTTTCTATGATGTCACCCTGTGCATGTATAACTTTAACTTAAAATAAATGTAACAAACAAACAACAGATTTTTTTTCTTAAATCTAGCTATATTTTGTCTTAGCGGTTACATTCCCCCCCCCCCCATGTATGGCGTCCCTATGTGGGGTCCGCATCCCCCCACCCCACCCTCCTAGCTAAAAGACGTGATGTCGCGGATATCGTTACTTCAAGATGATGTTGATAATGCAGCCGTCAATGTAAGAAATAATTGTCTATAGTCTGCAGCCTTAGGACATGGCGCCGACCAAAATAGTAGCATCATGTTTACAGCCTGCCGACTTAAAAACACGAACCGGATTCGGAAAAAAAAAGTATTATTATGGTTTTATTTTTAACCACTTTGCTGTCAAAACGTCAGTTGGAAAAAGCTTTAGAACTAGGGCGGTCTAGCTAAGGCTGTCTCACGTTTACAGTGACATGTTGACACTCAGTCCTCGCGCTTGTCGCACAGTGCCATCCCATCAGCCCACTCACAGTCATGCGCGTGCACTCGCTACACTGGGGTTTCATACTCTAGGGCAAATGTGTTTTTTTAAGCAGCTATCAGGGGGGCGGAACGGAAAAACCGTCACAAAAGTGACTCAGTCGCGAATGTGTACCAGACATATGTCCAACAAAAAGTATACGTCACAAAAGTGTACCAGTCACAATAATGTGTGGACCACTAGTCACAAAAGTGTACTACTGTACTACTAGTCACAAAAGTGTACTACTAGTTACTAAAGTGTACTACTAGTCACAATAGTGTACTACTAATCACTAACGTGTACCAGACATAAATGTGTACCAACACACCTCTGTACGAGATATAGCTGTATATCAGAACTTCATAACATCGTATGAGTGGGCCCAATCATTATAAAAACTTCCCTTAAAATTAGCCTACTGCTTATCTTATATCAAACTCTGGTAATATTTAATCAGCAACTGTTCGGTCCTTTCGTAACTGCTGTATTTATAGGCTCCAAAGCCTTTGGAGTTTGGTAAAGATTAAATAACCGTCTAGTTTTTACAAACAAAACGTGGCTGCTTCATTTTAAGAAAATAATGTGTGTCGAACAAATCAGTCAACCATCGCATAACACCCAGGACTGGGCTGTTAAAGTTCCCTAACTCCTAAAATATGTTGTTTTATAACAAAATGCTTCGTAAAAAATACAATTTCTGTTTATTGAGGTGGTCTATTGATAACGCCACGCAGTATGAAGTCATGCGTCGAATTGTTGGGAAATCGCATTGTTGTTTGTTGGTCAAAGGGAAATAATCGTGTAATTAACAACAGTCTTAGGCTGCGATGCTTAAGGGTCTTTGTTGAAGGGGGGAAGAAGCTTGACCAACAAAGTTTTAGGTTTTTAATATCATATTCAAATTTAAACATTTAAAAATAGTTTCATAGAACATACAACCACAAACAGCAAAGACGATACTCAGACTGCAAGGTAATTCATATTTTGATTATTAGTATAGGGCCATAATAATCATATAATAATGTAGCCAATTTACCATTCTGTAAAAAATATTTGTGAATTGTTTTAACTTTTTTAGGCTATTAAATTGTTTGCATTTTACTAAGTTTTTCTCTTTGGATTCAAAGTTTCTACAAGATTTTAACTTTAAAACTTAACAGTAAGATGTGGGTTTTGTAACTGATATTAGCCATTTTGTCTTGTTTTTCAGCTGTGCTTTGTCTATAAAAAGTGAAGACATCGTTTTTCCTCCGCTTGATTCAGCTAAAAAGCTTCGGCAAGCAGGAGAAAGCACACAACGAAGTCGCTCCATGAGAAACGTGGAATTTGAAAGGCGATAAGACGGACAAGACTTGGTGGGGGGAGACTTATTGTGTGTGGTACATTCTGCAGGGGAGACTACTCTCTGCTGAATTAATCATTTGGGGAAGTGATGCTAGGCCTACTGCTTTTGAAAAATGGGAATATTTTAAATGATACGAGCAGTCCTAGAAACCATCACGTTGGAAGTATAAAATGTGTAACAATCAGAGACTGGTGTGTTTAAATGAGTAACGGAAAGTCTAAGATACATTTGTACCATTATTTTGTGTTGATTGAAATTTCCATACACTTCTACAATCATTTTACATATTATTTGCTACTAAACTATTTTACACAAAATAGTCTTACTGATCAAGAATCTATATTTTCTGTTGATTTTTACCAAGAGTGCATCACATTGTTGGAAATATTTGAAATAAATACTGGACTGACAGATCAATAAATTGTTTTTTGAGTATGACATCATACATATCATGAATTATATTCCTTGTGGTCTGTTATGTCCCATAAGTGTATTATTGCTTACAATAAACCTAAACAAAATGCACTGCCTATTTGGAATAGAACAAATTACTAACAGGGTCTAGTATAAGTTGTGTTATTTAAAATCATATTTTATTTTTAAACTTCATTTTAAAAATGATACATAATTTTATTTAAAATTTACAAACAACAAATACATTTAAATAAATCTTTTCATTGTCATCTTTTTGATTTCTTGTGCTCTTTGACAAAATCCTCTACAGAAATTGAACCAGAAATGACTGAATTCCGTAAGTCTTCGTTGTGCTTCAGTTTGAAATACAAAGTCCTTAATGTCCCACGATAGGAAGCACTGTTAAGTCGACTGTTTTGATAAAATGTTTCTCTTTCAATTGCTTCAACCATAGGGTGGTCACTCTGAAATGTACACAACTAAAGTCATTCAAAATGGTCACTCTGAAATGTACACAAAACTAAAGTCATTCAAAATGGTCACTCTGAATAAAAACTAATATTGGGAGGTTACTATAATAAAACAAAAATTAGATGGTAACTTGGAAATAAAACTACCATTAGAAATATATTTGTTGATAACTGGCACTTATTGTGAAAAATTAAAGGTTAAAAGAAGGTAAAAAGTAATATTAGCAATATCTAAAGCATTAAAATTAATAACATTCAATTATATTTGAATGATGTCAATTTATGGTAACCTACATTCAAAGTAAAATTTGAAAAAAAAAAAACCTAACAGAATAAAAGCTGATAAATACAACTGGCTTTACAAGATAGAAATATCTGACAAAGAAGTATAAAGTAATGTGGGTACTCAAGTTCAAGCTATACACACTGGGCTTTTACAACATCACATTTCAAGAAGGGAGGGAGAATGAGAAACAAATCTGACATTTGAGCCACATTTTGTTACCTCAACATGCAGTGCCTCTGCCAGGCGAGTTTTGCCTTGCTGTCTCATTGCTTCTGACTTTTGATCACACCTGACCTCTATTTGGGGCTTTTCTGTCTGCTGCTCAAAATAGTTACTCCATTTCTTATAAACCTCTTTAGCTTGGTTGGAGACATCAGAGTCTGGATGTTTCTTTAACTTACTCACTGTTCTTCCTACAATAAGACAGTTTGTCATAGAATAGCTTCAATTCAATTTTCAACAATACTTTCAACCATACTGCTCAACAGTTGTAGCATTAACATGGGTAAGTGTGGTATAGCAGTAGAAAGCGTGCTTGCTAACCAAAACTTCTCAACAGTGGTAGCATTAACATGGGTAAGTGTGGTATAGCAGTAGAAAGTGTGCTTGCTAACCAAAACTTCTGCACCCAGATCAACCCCTGCACTGCTTGCCCCTGTATCCAAACCAGGTGTGTGATGGACTGGAGGAGGAAAGTAAAGCCTGGTGGAAACCCGCTGGTCTAGCTACATGGGTAGAAGAATAGTAAATACTTCATCCTGTTTTGTTCTTCTGGGTTTAAGGGAATAGCTCGAGCAAGTAGTGACGGTATATGAGTCTTATGCGTATCTCGAACATGAATAAACATTATTAAAAAATCTAATCTTTGATGACTTGAAAACTACTTGTTTTAAACACTTGTTTAAATTTTACAATTGAATGCTGAAATCACATCTGTAATTTTTTGTACAAGACAAAGGTTAGCCCATACTGTGAATACAAGGAATTGCCTATAAAACTTGCCATAAGCTGTGTCACAAAAGTTGCAGAAAGGAAACCAGTTGATAAGTTTATGGGGAGTCTAGCAAGACACACTCAATAATAAGTGTGCCTTTCAAGGTTACGAAACCAAACTGAAAGGGAAGAGGGGGAGGTCATTGGAGCAGTAGTCTAATCTCCATTTTTTACTTCTTAGCAAGGTTATATTTCTGCTATGTGAAGATGTGCATTATTAACATTATTTTAAACAACATTTAAGGAATTTATTTTATACCTAGTTAAATAATTTTCAATGAAAGATTTTGCAATGTAAAAAAAATTTTAAGGTGTCATACCAATCTTTGTAGTAACCATCACATTACGTGGTGGGATTTTTTTCCCTAGTTCCTTCAAAGAGTCTAGTAAGACAGTTTTCTTTTGATTGGGCAATTGCAGCTTTGATTTCAGCCTCTCTATGTCTTCCACAACCACTACTCTCTATAATCGGAAATAAAAAATAGTGTCATAAATCACATCTAATTACAATTATAATTAAATTATATATAAAGAAGACAAGACCATCTGTTGCCTGTTGCGCTTAACAATGTGTTTATGAAGAAGGGAGATAAAAATCAATGTTTGATTGAAATGTATTTTTGGCTTTTTTTAATTTAGTTGTGATAAGAAAATCGTTTATATTCCTTCAACTAAATCTGACAATGGTGTAGTTTATTCTTGATTGGTGATTTTGTAACATCTTTCAAATTATGATTTTTTAAAAACTTTTTTTGTCGATGCTTGCTTAAAACAAGTAAAAAAAACAGAGGGCTTTTCCAATTTCCATTTATGAAAGTGAATTTCTGTCAGAACGCATTAAGATTGACCCATCAAGTTGTTATTTCAATCTTGTTCTCATATCACAAATGTATCAGATAGCATGTCTGATAGCAGACAGAATAAATAATACAAATTAATGAACAAATTTGTTTTATGGAGCCAATAAATCTTTACATCATGGATAATACACTAAATTAATAAGTTCAAATCACAAAGTTTAAGCTTTAAACTCTCCCTAGTATCTAGATTTTAGATAGTATATGAATATAGATAGGTTAGTTAGAGACTAATCTGGTTAATATTTAGTCAAGGCCTAGATACATAATATTTGACATTGAAGTTACTAGATTCTAGTGTCTAGTTATAAATTCTAGATCTAGTTGGATTCTGGGTGTTATGAAATTGCGAGACGCGAAACAGCGAGGTGGTAAACTGCGAAACATACCTGCTGAATCATAGGTAATTAGCAAGGCACAATTTGAGAAAAAAAAAATTCTTTCATATTTTTTAGGTTTTTTTTTATAGGCCTACAGTTCCAGACAAAAAAAGTTGCAAGATCTATTGTCGGCGGTATTTCGGGAGGTTTCAAACAAGGTGGTTTTCTTCTAAGTCGACACAAAAAATGGGGAAGTTGACAAATCATCAGAATGTCTAGCGATGGAAAAATCAGAAGTTTTATAACAATGTAAGCAAAATGTCTTTACAGTCTGCATTAAATATCAATGTAAATCATAATCATCCTACCACTACCCTGCATAAGTATCAGGTGGTGGTAAAATGCGAGGCAAAAATGTAACTAATAATTATTAGAATTAATTAATTTTAATAGGCCTAATTACAATAATTAGTAGAATCTATTACTATTAGATCTAGTAGGGCCGGCGTAGGGCCTAATCAAATTCTATAGGCTCTACGCCCTACTGTTATTTTTATTAGTCGAATCTAGATAGTATATATAGTTACAGTATATAGTAATAGTATATATATATATTATATATAATTAATAAATTAAATTATATATATTATAGCCTACAAGTAGTAGATCTAGAATCTAGATCTTGAACTAATATTTATTTATATTAATAAACAAAAGTTAAAAAAGTAAAATAAAAAAGTTTTTTTAAAAAAAGGCTTTACTTTTAGCGACTTAATGGTACTTTGTTGTAAGGATCGTGATGATGGTGTTACACTGATGGATTTGTCTGACTTCGCTCGTGGTGTTTTAGTCAAAAATTTATCCATCATTCACTTTATTATTCATTAACTAAACACCTAAACTAGATTTAGAGATCTAGATCTAGATTAGATTCAGATTTTTTTTTTCTGCAACTCATACATACAGTCAACAGAGATACACTCTGTTTACTTTACACTTTACACTATACAGTAAACTTGAGTTAACTAAGTGGTCAAGAGACATAGATCTAGATCTAATAAGTGCCAGGAAAAAATGCGGATCAAATGCCAAGCCAATGTTCTTTTTCGTCCCATAGCCTAGTCGCTAGTGTCTTTCGTTACTGGCCTCCACCATTGCCTGCCTTTCTTTCTTGTTAGAATGTAAAGCTAATAGATCTATTACTAATAACAAAAGTAACAAAATATTCCCTGACTAAAAAGTTTTTTCACATAAAAAAAACTTTAAAAAAAATTCAATATGCCTGTTCAACCACATCCGCCAAAAAATGTACAGACATTGAGACGAACGTGTAACTAAGGGGTCATCCATAAATGACAATGACGTCACGCTTTTTTTGGACGATTTTTACCTTCCCCCCCCCCCCTTCCCCTCCGTCACACGTCGTCACAAAAAGCCAGATCCCCCCCCCCCCCAAATGACGTCACACCTCAGCCTACAACCCCCCCCCCCCCCCTCAAAATAGCAGTTGAATTTTTTTTAAACAGCTATAAGCCTATATTTTTCCAAAATTTTGTCTGAACTCTGTCAAAATAGAGTATTTTATTACAATTTATTAAAACAGTTTTCTAAAACGCAAAATAACGTCTAGAGAAAATTCATTTTCTAACATTGCTTTTTTATAATGCAAAAGTGTGACGTCGCACCATCTGAACCCCTCCCCCCCCCCCTCATCACAAACCGTCACAAAATTTCGGACTCCCCCTCCCCCCAACGAGTGTGACATCATTTATGGACGACCCCTAACCTACTTATGATAGAGGCGCCGTTACACACGGGGCCCCTCGCTAAATTCATGCAAAGAACGTCGGGTGCCACACTTAGATATCGATTGTCACACTTAGTTATCGATTGTAATAACCCACTGTATTTTTAGTGGATAAGGATCTTTAACACGAATGTAGGTGTCTAGTCATCGCCTTGGCGGAGTAGAAGAGCCTGTAGTAGCCCTTTGTGTATCATGGCCGTTCATGAATTCAAGCAGTACCTGACCCCTTTTGAAGGACGCCCAAATAGCGGACAAAATTAACATTTTATATTTTATGGGTAAAATGCTAAAATTGAATTGAGGTTTTAAACATGCTTGTCGAAAATCGCAAACATTGGCAGATTAGTTTTCCTGTTTACGGAAACAGACTTTCAACGCAGACCTGAGAGTTGGTTATTCATGGGGGGTGGGTCCTATTCCGTTCAATTCGAGTTAGTTTTAACTATATCAAAAATGTAAGTGATGATTTGATATGCACGTTATGGTTAATTCAAGATAAGAAGGTTCACTTGTCAGGCAATATTGTATTTTCCATCGATGATTTTTAAAGTACAGCAGTGTAGGTAGGTTTTTGATCATGGGGGCTGGGGGTGTCTAAAAAATTGACCAAATTTTGGGGTTAATTGTGAGTGTGTGGGGGGGAAGGGGTCTAATCTGACACTCCCTGCTTATGTAATCATGATCCAATAAAATAACCGGTCATTTGAACTCTTGACCCAACAATAACACGCATGTAACTGCCATCCAATTAAAAAAAAAACCAAACCATTATGGTGATTAAGTTACACAATTTAGATAACAAGACAAATAAGTATAGATTTTATTCTGGTCATTAGAAATGTTTGACATGTCAAAGGCTAAGGATATATGTACAACAACAGTACACACCAATTTTCCAGCCATTTCACAATAACAAAAATAATAAGAATCCACCCCCAATAAACTTTTACTCAAAACACTGTGGTCATAGGCATACAATAAGCATCCACACAAATAATTCCCAAACTAGCATCACAGAAATAAATAGTCTATATTGACAAATGTATTTCTCCTAATGTGAGTTGTTTACAAGCATAAACAGTACCAGAAATGCTATTAATCAACCCACTAGAAAACAAAGTGAGGTTTTTTTTATACATGATTTGTTTTAAAATTTAAATCTGACAATAAAAAAACCAGCCATTCAGACTTGCTATAGGAATGTGCAAGAAATGGGTACAGCACAGAGGATCAGTCGAAGTATGGTATAAACATACCATCACATTCAGATCAGCAGAACATTTTTAAAAACAAATTGCTATTTTTTTTTCTTCAAATCCCAATTTTAAAAAAAAATTGAATGCATAGTTTAGTTAACTGCACAGATAAAAAAAAATTATAATCATCACTAGGCAACTGACTGAATAATGCTAATAATTATGATGTAACAAAATCAACACATCTAACAATCCCAGTTAAGCTGGGTAGTTGATGCTCACAAGACCCATTTTGAAACGAATCCAAATTTACAACAAAAAAAGGATAGACATTAACACAATTTCAACCCAGAAATTTCTAAGCTTCAATATGATTAAAGTTATTGAGGATTTAATATCATTAGCACTTTGTGATTGGTACTATGATACTGAAATACCAGCCATTTAGCTTTTAAAAAATGCAACAAGTTATAAACTAAAAGTTAAAAAAATATGCGAGCTCCAGCAACATTTGTAGTCAAATATTACATGTTCTAAAGTGTTCATATAAACTCCAAAATATTGTAGAATTCGGGTTTTAGTAATACTAAACAAAGCCAATAATAATACAATTTACATTTTGAAACTAAATTTTTAAAATAAAAATGATTTATCAATATACAATTTTATCCTAATATTTATTAGCACCTCATATGTGGCTTAATTTGTTTTTAAGTGACATTTGGAAAAACTTGTAAAATGGTACAGCAATTTCATGAAGAAATTTGAAAATTAGGCAGCAACAGGCGGAATACATGTTTAAATTTTTATTAGTAATTTCAAAGAGATCATATAAACTTTGCTTTGTTATTGCTAACTGTTGTACAACATAACTTTTCATTACACAACTGTTTGATGAGCTAGACAATGTACCATGCCTAACACACGTTTATGTCTTATCTTTCTGAAGACAAACAATATAACTGCAGTGAAAATAACGAAAATCAATTATGTAGTAATCATGAGATATTTAGAAACAAAAATGAGATTTATGCCAAGCCATATAAATGAACAAAGTTGTTAATGTCATAAAAAATCTACAAAAAGTAATCACAATTCAAAGGACACCTTACATATTTTTTTTCAAGGTTTTCAAAGAAAATAGCATAAAAATAAAATAGATCATTCTAACACAGGCACTTGTTGATTTTACAATAATCTTCTAAAATTCAACATTTTAGATGATGTATATATGATCCTTAATTGTTTTAGGAAAATATTAGCAACTAAACAATCCTACTGAATATTTGCATGTAAAATTAAATAAACCAAGAAGTGCCTGCTAATTCATGTTCAATATTTTTGCATTCTACTTCTATCAATCAGTTTTTGCCAGGACAGATTAGATCTTTTTAAAATTTACAGTATAATGCAAATGTTTTCTATATTTAAAAAAAATACCTAGTTAAAAAGTTCTGTAGTTTAATTACACAATTTGTTTAAAAAACAAATGATGGTTTAGGTAATAAGCTCAATAATTGATTTATTTTGTACACAGAAAAATAAAGTGTTTATATAGATGTTTACATATATAAAAAGTAAAAACCTCATACCAAAACTTGACATTCTGAATGATCAGAAATCTTGCTAAAATCATAATCTCTAGCCTTTTTTCTGAGACAGGTGGTCAAGATAAGGGAACACTGATCAGTAATGGGTAATTCTCTTTGGAGTGCCATTATAAGTAGCTCTTAAAATTGACTAAGATTTACATTTCAGCGTTCATTTTATTCTAAATAAATACCAGCAAACTCAAGCAAGAGGCACCCAGATTATTTCAATGCCATTCACAACCAACAATCAACAAACTGGAACAATCAATCATTTGGGATCACATAGGGTAAAATGTACAGTGGTTCATCATAAACTGAATCCATTGTTAACATTTGATGCCAGGATTTAAACTGACCATCACGATCAAACGTCCCATTAATACCTTCTAAGTGTTCCTCATGTAATCTCTTAACAAGAGACTCTGTAACCGGGACAGGTTCAGGTGACTGATAATCATGTATGGCCCAATCTATATTACTCAGGTCCAGTGGTGGTAAACGTGCCAGCAATTGTTCTTCTGACAAACGTTCCAATGTGTCAAGAGTAGATGTGGAAGGCAAGTGACTTGGATGATCCAGCACATCCCACGCTTCTGGGGGACTTGCTGATGGACCTGAGTCTGGTTTATCTTGGCGACTTGAGTAGGATGGATATCCAGATTCATATGACGACTGGTTGAATGTGGCACTACATCCCCCTAAAACTAAAGACTGCTCCTCTTCTTGACGCAACGGTTGTAATGAATGTTCAAATGAATCTTCTCCAGGAGTGGGGGCAACAGATGTCTGCAAAAATCTTTCAATGTATTCACTTTTGGTCTGAGCTAGTTTCCTACCATCTGACACAGACTCTGTATCAGGTAGTTCCATTTCACTTCCCCTTTTTTTGCGCCCTTTGCGCTTAGAAGAGGAAGGAGGTACATTTTTCTGAGAATCTAAATCTTTTCTAATTTGGTTAGTCCTAATTTGAGCAATAATACTTGTACCTACAGTTGTGGCAGATTTTCTCTGCATATCTTCAATTAGCTGCTCAGTTGTTTTAACTTTGCTCAATTTTTCCCTGAAACCCCTTGAGTCTGAAGATTGGACAGACAATCTTGAATCTATACTATCTTGTCTAGAAAGTGGAAGTTTTTGATGAGAACGATTCTGTGTAATGGAAGCATCTGGTAGTTCTTGACGGCCACTTCTAGTTGAAGCCGCAAACGTCTTGGGGTCAACTAAGCTGTCACGAACACCCATAGCTGGGGATTTAATATGACTTTTTTTATTAACTTCCCCATTTATCACATCACTTCTAATTTGTTTTGAAAGACTTGGAGATGAAGAAACTAGACGAGGTTGTTTAGACGATGGTTCTGCTGATAAATCATTAGAATCTTCTAAATGAATTGGACGCGTTCTTTTACGATTAGCAACATTTGTTTTTGATACATCTCTTTGATCCGACGCCCTATTACAACTGTTAGCAGACTTTGATGCAGACACAGTGGAATGAACTAAATGACTGTTATCAAAATTGAAATTTCGCCTGTCAGAACCTATAGGAAATTTAACAGAATCTTGATTCTCTCTATCACCAATTAGTCTGTCTTGGCTACTCTCACTGTTCATTGATGGCGGGGTTCTTGGCCAGCTTAAATTAGAATCATCATTTATGCTAGCTTGCCTCAGTGAATTGGGCTTTGGAGATTTAGACCTTAAACCTTGTTTTTGCTTGAGGTCGTGTTGAGCTAATTTTGAAGGAGGAAGAGGAGCCCTGGCTACTGGTTGCACCACCGGACTTCGAGAACCAGCACCTTTCATAACTTGCTGTCTCATTATCAAGGCAGGTGATGGCAAGCATGTCACTGGTGTACTGCACCGACTTGATGCAGGAGACAAACCAGGGCTTATTTTTTTTACCGGGTGCTGGCCATTTGCAACTTGAGGAGAGCCTGGCACTGGAATTAATTTCTTCCATGCCTTAACAAGATTTTTTGCTCTTTTAGATATATCAGGGTTTTTGCTTATTTTCCTAACAAGATTTATGTCTCTTCCAAGTCTTGTTTGCTGAAAGTACAAAATAGGTAAAAATGTATTAGTCTAAATTTTTAAAATCATAATATTAAAATCTAAACCAGTTTAGATTCTAAATTAGAACCACACATCAAGAAATTTATAAATTATGTATTGGTATGTATCTGGCGACTCCTAATTACCTCTAGAATTTCCTTCGTGATGGTACTGGCCTCCAGAAGTGTAATGACTTCTTGAACTGCTTTCTCATCAATAACCTGAAGCATTTATATGATTCAATTAACACTCATTAATAAAGTCATATTTTAATGGATTAGTTAACATTAAGCAAACAGGATGGTGCCAAAATATTGTATCATTGGACTCTATTTTTATTATATATTATTTATTACAAGTTAAATTGTATTTTAAGCAATCAAAATCGCAGAAGGGCTAATTTTATACTAATGTTGAAATCACATCAAATTTCACATTTTTGCCATGCCTATCCCTGGCGACCAGATGAAAGAACATAGATAAGGAACATAAACACTGATGATAGTTTGATAAGCCGAAAATAAATAAGAAAAAAATAAGTCTTATAATATACACAGTAGAAAGAAGAAAATGTTTAGCTATATATAGGTAGTATCTAGCCAACTTTGATATACTGCTTATTTCAGATTACATTAAAAAAAAAAAACTATGTCTCCATTATCAATATGCTGGAGTAAACAAATACCAATTCCCTCAGCTCTTCTTTTTTCAATTATATTCAACAATTATTTTTCTTCTAGTAATACATAGGGTTCCCACATTTTTTTGACTAGAAAATTCCCTATTTTTCCTATAAATTTCAATGCGCATAACCATTGAACATAACTTGCCTAATTAAATTTAATTAAACTACAGAAAACCAGCCACTTTTTAGGGATGCTACTCATTTTTTAAAGCAAATCATCTCCTAAAATTCAATCCCAAAACTGAAATTTTTAAACCCTGAAACTTGGAAGTCAGAAATTGTTTAAAACAAAATCTGACAATACTTACATTTGATTAATGTTACATGTTTAATACATTTCGTTGGTGATTTTAACTATATAACAATCTTTAAACAAAAATATTAAAGGATTATGCATTTAACAAAAATAGAAGATCCATCATAATCCCATATTACATTTCTAGACCTCCCCAATACAAAAAAACTGTTTATGTTAAAACAATATTAATATAGTGAGTTAAGCTGGGTGGGTCACACACTGCGAAAGGCTCACCCAAATGTTACACGGCAAGCGCTTGAGTGGAACCCCCAGGGAAAGCGGAAGAGGGCGCCCAAGACAGACCTGGAGGCGGAGTCTTCTTGAAGAACTGAAGCCAACAGGGATGTCTTGGGAGATGACAAAATTAATAGCCGGGGATCGGAAGAAATGGTGGAGGCATTATGTTCCATAAGGAGCAATGAGGACTAAGTCAAGATTTAAGCTGATAGTATTATAAGCTGATATAATTTTAGCACTTCCTATATTGAGTTCAATAAAGTGTTTAGTTAGCCAAAAGTGTGTAGTTATTCGTGCAACCAACAAACTAAACAGCAAATAATTTGCTTAAGACAAGAAGTTTGAAAAATCCCCCTCGTGCTTTTATTACACTAATTAATACCTTAGTATAGCTAATATCTGAAATAAAAGAAGTTTCTGTTACTATGAAATAATACTGAAACGTGTAATCGAATGGAAAGTAATCTAACAGACAACACATTTCTGCTGAACGACAATGAGTGGTCAACACTTCTTAAAAACGAACCCATCGTATCACTGAGTATCAGTCATCATCGTAGCCATAAACACGTTTTTCACAAATCATTTTCTAGGCTAGCGATTAATTTTTAATAAAATTTGGTATCAAATTAATGGTAAATAAATGTAGTTTTTAATTGTTTAAGACATCTTGAACAATAATGAAGTTTTAAAATCTATTGTTAAGTATTTAAGAATATTCAACTAAGATGGGGATCCATTGAAATTTAAAAAATAAAGCTACTTTTTACTCAGACACCAGCTACATGGCCCTGTTTAGTTAAATCAAAAGCTCAGTTTTTAACAAAGCCGAAGGTTAAATGTTTTTAATTAACTTAAATGGATGTGATCCCTATTTGCACAACAAAAATTGACTAATATACTTTTTATTATTGGATAATAGGTTTAGTTTCATTTTTGCTTTATTGGTCCATTAATTAAAATCTGACAATTAAACAACTGGAACGTACAATGTTTTAGTTCCCTGGAAGATAAGCTGATTTTTTCAAGAAACATACGGCTAACTTCAGTTAAGTCATTTTGATCACAATAGATTCTAGAAATATTTTGCAAGTTTATTGTCATTTGAATATCAAAACTAGACATGGTAAGTTGAATTTACTATTTTAAATTTTATTTCAGTCCTTACAATATCACAATACGGCTTAGGTCTATTTTTAAATTTACAAAGATCCATCAGTTTGTTAACAATAGTTATTTAACTAAATTATTAGTAAAAGGGTTCTGAAATTAAATATAATCAAATGATAATCACAGTATTGATTAATAGTAACAGTTCATGTGAGCATTAAACACTTTAACATTACAGTTGTAACAAGTTTTGAAAGAGTACTAGATCAAGCTTAATCTATTTTTCATTTTATTTGGAGAATACAATTCTGTATATAGTTACAGAATCTTATAAGTATACAAGTATTTTTGTAGTAACTGCCAAGGATGGTAATTGGGTTAATCCTCATATAGAGAACAGAAGTAGACTTTATACCTCTGCATATGAAGGGATAGTGGGGTTAGCACTATCTTTCCTTAATGCGAATTAGGTACCCATCTACTGACTAGAACCCAGATTCAAACTCTAGACTTTCTGCTTAGCAGTCTAGCGAGAATATTAGGAATTAAATGGTAAGGAATCAAGCAACATGCTTTCCTATAATTGGTGCGAGGAAATAAGCAAGTTTCCTATTAAAAACACTGCTTATTTCCTGAGAAATGGCATGTAAAAAAAAATATTTTTTAAACACTATGTATAGGTCTACAACAAGATTATTTCACAATTATATAACATGTCTGTGATGTTTTGAACCCAGCTATCAGTATAACTGTTGGATTCTCCAATGCTATATAACCAAACCATTTAGCAGGAAGACAGCAAAAGCAAATTTAAAGAAACCAACTATGATTCAAACATGATTGATTAAAGAGGTCTATATTTAATTGTTTTCAAGTGGTTAATTGTTTTATACCTTTTATTAGTAGGCCTTAATGTTTTGAGTAATGAATAGTATCCCTGATTTTTAAATTGCGCTCGACCTAGGTTGAAAAAATGTTTTGAGCACTACATAATAATGAAACTACTTTATTACGGTTAACCTATTATAGGCCCTAAATTTAAAAAAAAAAAACATGACAAGCCCTTTGCAAAAACCTTTGTATTAAAGTCTATTAGTCACATCTCAGTGTTCAGAGAGAATAGCATAGTTTTTTTAATGCCAAGGCTATTCCCAGTCTGTTGTCATTTCATGCTATATACGACTGGGAATAATATCTTACAATATTAAAAGCATACAATTTTACTTGGGAGTGAGGTATATATTAAGAGAGCAGTGCTATGTTTATTGTGTTATATTATCATTAAAAAATTATGGTTTTTAAATTTAGTATAGCCTTTAGATTCATATCAGCTACATAGGTTGGAGATGAACAATTAATCACTCTAAATGTGCACTAATAGATCTAGAAATTTTTAGGCCTATCTATATATATAATTCTCTTCTGGGAGACATTAGAAAACAAGCTGCAAGCGCACCTCGCAGTCCCCTCTTTTCCTCTCTATCGCTACCCCCCCACAATTTCACAAGTTTTTTCTCTTAGCAAAAATCTAAGGGATGGGTCTTTTTTTTTGTCTGCAAATATGCCAGCAATCATGTCACAAATAGAAAAATTAACAAAAGTTACCCTTATATAGGTATAAAAGCGGTTGACCGGTTTGAACCCGCACCATCCAGCACAACAGCCACCAATGCATTCACCTGAGCACACAACTTCAAGCATTTTGTTGTGTTTTTAAAATTAAATGTATCAAAAAACAGTCATGACTGTTACTAGCCCTAATACGGCTAATCCCAGTCGACTAGGAATAGACAAGTTGATTTTTAAAACTATTATTGATGTCTGACAATACTGTACCATACAGGTCTGCTAGAATCTAGTAGTGTTGCAATATCGGCTAGTTTCATAAGAAATTAGGGGAGCTATAGCTGTACTTGAGTTAGGGTTAGCTTATTACACTAGAAAGTCATAATAGTATTTTGTTGGTGGGGTTGTTGTCACAATAGAAAGGGGCATTAGGTTAGTGGTAGTTACTAAATACACATAGGTCTATGACTTGCTAACCCAATCCCAATCCATTGTCCTTCCATAGCCCCAACCCTAATTCCTAGTATTACTCGCTAACTTGTAGGCGTGGTCGGTTGCTAACAACAATATGGCGTCCGGACTGGACGCATGACTTCCGACAATTTTTCAGCCAAATTCCAGAGACCTACTAATTAGTTTTAAAAATATTTACCACACGCAAAATGGCGGGGTTTTCACGTTATAACAACAAGCTATAGGTGGCAGGGCTAAATATGCCAGAAAAGCATTTTAAAATTTGCATTGGAGAATGAAGGCTAAATTAAAAATACTATAACTTTTTAAATATAGATTTCCATATTACAAAATTGATTTCCACAGTAAAGCATTGTTAGTTTTATCAGTCTATGAAAAAATAAATCAAATATCGTCAGCCGTTTTCTTATTAGACCGGCTAGAAAAATGACAACCAAATTTTTTTTGAAAAAAAAAAACCAAGTGACCATTATTTGGTGATAACTAGTGAGGAACTCTTGTGCATAGCCAGTTAAAAAGTCAAACCGGACTCACTGCTTTTTGTAGCTTCAAACAAAATCGGGGTTGTAACGGAGAAGTGTGTCGTGCATGGCAGTGTGTGACAGTAAATATTAAATTAGGCCTAGCTAGGGGTGTGGGGAAATTGCGAGACGCGAAAAGCGAAATGGCGAGGCGGGAAAATGCGAGAAGGGCGCGAAAACGGTCGGTCACGTGACTTTTTGTCTCGCATTTTACCACAACCCGATACTTACGCTGGGTGGTGTTGAAATGCGAAGATTTCTGCGAAAAATTTACCGCACCCGATTTTCAGTGGTATTTGGTCCAGACTTCAAAGACGTTTCGTTTACATT